CCCTCAGACCCGAATCGTCGGCGCACTGATCCGTCGGACCCTGACCGCCGGCGAGATCCCTCGGACCCCGACCGGCGCCGCCGTGCCACTGTCGATGAGAGTGAATCGCGCCGGCGCACCGATCCCTCGGATCCCAACCGTCGTCGAGACCCCTCAGACCCGAATCGTCGGCGCACCGATGCCTGGGACCCCAACCGCCGGCGCGATCCGGCGGATGCTAACCGGCGTCGCTCTTCGACAAACCTCCTCCTTAACGAGGGGACAGCCCAACAAGCCTGGGACAAGGCGGTTGCGTTTTATGCAGGATCAAGATGGGATTCGCGCGCTGACGCTGTTATGCTGGATGCAGAAGCCAACATGCTTTGCTCACGTGTGACGAGGAAGATGAAGGAGTCTCTATGGCCAGCGACAAAATATTCCGTCACTTCGAATCTGGACAGACCGCTTTGATGCAGGATGAGTGTGGTAACCTCACCACTGATCGAGATCGGATTGTCGCCCTGATGTATGTGCCACTGATTCAGAACCTGCTGTATGCTTCATACAAGCTGGCAACGAAGATGAGCAACGAGGAACCTCTCATTCAGCGCGACCGTGGCCATGGAATCTTTTTTGCCAAAGCCATGCAGCCAAAGCTGGCCAGCTGTGCGCAAGATGTAGCGGACATTGTGGCCCGAAATCTGCTCGTGCCTTCCCCAGCAAGAGAGATGCCAGTGGCATGTCTGACCTTTCAGCAACATGTGTGCTTGCTGTATCGTCGGTTCTAATGTGTGAAGGTGCCAAAGAGCGAAGAGCCAATGCAAGACGGATATGCAGAGGCATTTTTGTTGCGAAATGCTGTTGGGAATGATCTTCTTGGGGAGAGTTGCGAGCACCTTGTGTTATTTAAGGAAGTTGCCCCAAAACAACAGGTGAAGCTCGCATTGGAGCGAACCTACGACTGCCTGGGCCTGCAGTGTCGGGGCCTTAGCAGTCCCAGCATCTTGCTTTGACTTAGGGAAGGTTTCGGCACATCAAGCAACAAGTAATTGTAGTTCGTCGAGAGCAAAGTCCATGCCTGCAGTCCCAGCTGTGCGAGGCGAGGACATCGGTGGGATTTTGGAAGATCCACTGTCCCAAGCCAACGTGAAGTATGCTCCGGGAGCGGAGCCATGTGGTTTCGTCGTCTTCGATGCCTCAGCACCACAACCACAAGCTGGTGTCGATGCCGGTGTTGTCGTGGCCGTCGTGCTGAGCGTGCTCGCTTTTGCCGCCGTTGTTGTACTTTTGGCCTGGAGGGTTGCTTATTCTCGGGGTGCCGAACGGGCGCGATTCATCATGAGGACGCCCTTTGTGTTGATTGATTTGTGGAGAAATCGCGCTTTGTGCCCCATGCTGCCCGGCAGGACACCGGAAGCCTCGCCGACGACGACTTTGCCTCCTGGTGGTGAGACGGTCATTGGCAGTGTCATCGGGACCAGAACCGAGGAGGTCCCTGTCGCTGATGACGAAACAACTCTGAAGATTTGAGGACCGTGGTGCGGCATGTTACCCCGCTCGTAGGGCTGCAAGTAAGTACTTGTCATGTATAGGCGTTGCAAGCGCAGGAGCTGCGCAGAAGTGAGCCATGCCTGCTTGAGATTTTTCATTTTCGCCACAAACCACTCTTGACCGTTTCCTGGCGTGCTTTTGACAGTTCACTGTAGGAATACTTTAAATGGCGAATGACGTTGTTGTCTGGTCTATCATCGTGCACGGCGAGGCATCATCATGCTACTAGTACATAGAAGAATGCCGTGGAGCGGGGTTGACTGTGGAGTCATATTGTGGGCTCTCGGCTGTCCAAGCCGGCGATTTTGCAAGCGTGCGCCGCCAATGCGTCGCAGCTTGATTTCCGGCGGTGCACTACGCACGCCGATTGGGAGTGGCGTTCTGCGAGAGTTGCGGAGGAATGTTTGATGTATGTATGTTCTGCTGCATAAGACTTCGGAACCTAGGCCCCCTTTTGTTCAATGCCGCGGCTGGGCAGTCCGCATGCTCCATGAGCTGTAGAGAGTTCCAGCTGACGATTTGTAACTGCGTGCAATTTGTATCGGCGTGCTACTTTCGGGTATTCCTAGCTAGGTTGTAACATTGAAGTTGCATTCCCATTATAAGGATCGCTTGTAGAATTAACTCAAATATGTGAGACATTGACATGCTACTCAGAGTGCCTGGAAGTAAGCCATGCTCACTTCAGAGTTGTAAGGGTCTTGTACAGGTCTTGTACAGAGTTGTAAGGAGTGTAGATCGGTGAACATTTTTGTCGCGAGTGCGATCTTTGCCAAAGCGGCGGTTCGCCTCCGAACGCGGTCACATGCTGCCGCATACCCTTTCGACTCAGCAGCCAACAAAAAGTCACTGATAATGGAGCATCCCAGCCGCTGCACGGGTACGAGGTTGCAGAACGGCCAGGGCATACGTGCTTTGTTCCAAGATAAGTGTGTGTACTGAGGCGTACAGGGCACATTGCACAGCGCGACATGCCATTCCGCGCCATCGAAGTGCCGTAAACCCTAAACCCAAAACCTATCGTGACCTTGCATGATGGTGACGGGCATACCTTGCTACGCTGAATGTCGCACTTTCTTGAGCTGTGATACTGCAGGTCCTTGCAGCCACGTGATTAAACGACACAGCCCGTCGGTTGTTAGCTGTGTTGGGTCCGAGCCGGCTAGTCCATGTCGTGCTGTAAATAAGCCCAGTGAGACCGGCCGGAGCGTGGAGCTGATGTCGCAAGCAAAACGTGTGATGTGGCGGCTGCATGAAAGAACACGCATTGACACAACTACGCCCAAAACATTTGCTGTGGTTTTGAAGGCAAGAGTCTAGATGCCAAGTTTGCTTTCAGTGATTTGCGGAGTTGTGTGATGGGTTCGGCAGCAATCAGGCATGAGACTAGCGGGGGGTGGCTTGCGGTTCAATCAAGCGTGGCACCTCGCAAAGCTTCGAACAATCTCGCTCAACTCGGGGGCTTGACCTGCGGCTGACAACTCGATAGCTTTGCGTGAGCTTCAACAGGTTTGCGGCAGGTTTCAAGATGTTTAACGAAGTGCTCTGCCGCCTCTGAGGGCCTTAGCTTCATCTTGGCAGGGAGCATTCAGCAAGCTGGTTTGAGCGACGTCTGTGATGTAATGAAGTGCAGTTTCGCGGGCTTGGGTGTATATCCTCAGAAGAATGCTGGCCTAATCGCTCAAAGTCATGTCGCGCCATGGTGCTCCGCAAGGCTGTTCATCTTCGGGGCTGCAAGTTTCGTGAGCCGTGGCCTTCCGTCGGCTCTGGCAGGCGAAAGCGGCGCCAAAACGGCATGCAGGTGCCCTGGCAGGCGGAGGGTTTTTGTCCATCACACCGTCTGACATAATCTTGTTCCTCTTTCAGCTTAGTCGTGGTCTACGGCGGGTTGGCGCGAGCGTGAGCCAGGAGAAGCAAAGCAGGACAGCAACATCTTGTTGCCAAAGCACGCAGCGGCCCCGGGCCGAGGGACACTTGGAGCTTCAGCCAGGCTGCTCACCTCTGCTCTGTCCTGGTATTGAGACCTTCTGAGCAATCTCACACTCTTTCTGCAGCCGTTGTTGTCCCAAGCCCACTGCACTGTGGAATTACGACAAGATGTCGATGGAGGATGCAATGGCGTTGTTTCGCAGATTCGATGTAAATGGTAACGGCACGCTCGGATTCGATGAGCTGCGTGAGCCGCCATGATGCACACAAGAAGCTTTTTTCTTGTTCTGCTTCGTGATAGCAGTAAGTAGTATATAGTGCATAGTGCCAGCTTGCAAGGTTGTTGCTGATCGTTGGGGTGCCGGCAGCCGACATTCCGGGACTTTTTGGCATCATTGACACCAATGCCGATGGTTCCCTGTCCTGAAGGGATCAGCAGCACATGTTCACGTATACTGTATAAAGCATGGGGCTGGGGACAAGACTGCCCGCTTTCTGGACTCAAGTCTTGACACTTGTCGAACTCGCGGCGCCAGCAACACCTAGACGTGCCACTGCGGCGCAGGAGGATTGGGCAAATCGAAGTACGCTGAATGATGCCGGTATGCCGAACGAATTTGAAGATGTGTTCTCAGCATAAACAACTGGAAATGCCCCGGTCCACAGACATCACAGAAATTGAGCACGAGTCGCCACCATCAATATGTATGGCTAACTACACACCTGCTTGATGCAGAAGTGTTCGCCACAAAAAGTGCGGGTACTTCTCGGCTTTCGGCTCTGCAGGTTGGATTCCACGGTGAGGGCTGAGGATTTCAAAGCCAAAGTCGGGGTAGCAATACGTCACTGCTCTGGATGTCGAAGCCTCGACGGATGATGTATCCATGTTCTTTTGGCTTGGAGCTTCGGGATCGGATTCGGGTTTCAGAATATTTCAGGCTCCAATTTCATGGGTTTTACAACGTCAAGTTCGCAGCATCGCGAGCATATTATGAACGCCCAACGTGCTTCATCCATATCGTGCCAAGAAGCCTCCCTCACCCTGACCTGTTACTTCGCGGTGCGGTTCCCAGAGTGCCGAACATGCAACCCGAAAGTGGTTTGTCTTCGGACCGTACGTTTTCGTGGGGACCGTTTTCCTTTCCATTGGGCCTTGAAGCCGCGTTGCTGTGTTGAACGGCGACCGTTCCCAAACTACCAAGTTCGGCACCCTCAGATTTGATATGGCGATATGACACGAAGACTACTGAACTGTCAGGAAATGTCGACTTCGACGAGTTTGTTCGATGGATGTGGATGCAGCCCGTGGATGCCAAGGTCAATGCATGTCTTGGACAGCAACATGATTTTGGCCGGCCAGTCACAGTCGCTGATAGCCAGATTGACAGGAGAAGATGGTGGGCAGCACTGCAGTTGCTCGACAGCTCTTGCAGGAAATCGCCGACAGGCTGGATGCGGACCATGTACCATATGTTGCCTGCCTGCACTTCGAATCATGTCGGACGTTGTCGAAGAAGCTTCTCCAAGGCGACCGTGTTTTCAACAAACAAAGAGGGATAAAGAGAGAGCATACTATAGACAGCAGAGTGGGCGTTACAGGGCGGAGACAGGCCGACGTCGATGTGCTTGCATGATGAAGCATCATGCTCTTCAAGTTTTTCTTGGCACTCCTCTTTCCCACCACGCTTCCGCTCGGGGTCGGTGACGGGGGAGGCAGTAGCCGCAGAGCCACAAAGGGGAACGTTTCGAACCTGGATGAGCGGCCTCTACCTCCGAGAGCAGCGTCCAGTTCTTCAGGCGGAAGTCGACCTGGCCCGAGCCCAACTGACAGAAACAGTGAAGGGCGCGACTGCCGGAGACGCAGCTTCTCCAACCCCCAGTTCCCTGGACCAGGATGATTGAAGACTTTGGGGTTTTCTGGGGACCTTTGCCGGGGAGCTGGTACGGAGAAAGCTGCTTGTCGCATGGTTTAGGAGGGCTGTTCTGGGGGGGACGGGGTTTGCAAGTGCAGTCGGGGAACGTGTGATCACTCATCCCCCGAACGGGCCGCTCAGACATTTGGACCGCGAGCCTTATGGGGTAGGCCTTCGGGCCGGGGGTCCTCCGGTGCCTTAAACCCCTAGCAAGCAAGCAAGCAAGCAAGAGAGAGCGCGTAGAGCGCGGGGAGCTGCCCTCCCTTGGCTGTGTGGAAGAAGAGGGAGAGACAGAGAAAGACAGATTGGCCCGCAGAAAGAAAGAGACAGTCGGACAGGCAGAAGGAGGGACGGATGAAGAGAGACCAAGCTGGCATTGCATCACATGCAAGTGCAAGGACACACTTTTCTCGCCTCCTGGACGCATAAGCTTCCTAACTTCTAACTGATGACGGGAAGCAGCGAGGTGCAGCAATTTTTTACGCAAGTGATGTGAACCGGAAGCCGTCGTCTAACAGGGGTCGGTACCTGTTACAGGCCAAAGGAAGATTGGCTGCAATTGTGTGCTATCGTTTCGCAAACTGCTGATGACCAGAGGAATGCAGACGTGTCGAGAGATGGCCTTCTTTCCCGTATCTCGTCCAGCAAGTGAAGGCTATCAGCAATCTTTTGCCGTCGGAAGGCAGCGTATGGAGAAATATACAGCGTGCTCATCGCCCAGGTGACGAGCTGTCACGGATTTTGTTGGCTTATCTGCCCGACGTTACATCATCAGTGCTGACAGAGACGTTCAATCTCTGCGATATGGACAACAGCGGATGGATATTTGTCAGAGCACGATAGCACAATTTGGCTGCTAGTTGTCTTATGCAGTTGCAAGACTGGTCGAGTTGATGTTCCTTGTGAGCTTTTCGATGCTTTTCGTTTGAGACCAGTGCCTTTAAGGATTAACGTGCAAGAGTTTGTCGCAGCACTGCGCCGCGAGGCCCCGCCGGCGGCATAGATTTTTACGGTTGTGCGGTGGAGCAGCAAATCCAGTGGCATTTTGTGATTTCATGCGCCAGGCCAGCAGTTTCAAGGCCGGCAGAGGGCGGGATGGTTGGACCAGAGCCCGAAGTTCCCGCGGGACCTTAGCCTTGTCAGTCCACTTGAAAAGCTAGCACACGTTGTCAAGTCTTTCTTCGCAGTAAGAGCATTCGACCAGGACGGGGGTCCAGCTGCCTAGCCATCAGTTGTTCTTGTAAACCGCCAAGAAAGAGGAGGACATCCGATAAGGGACCCAGCGCTTAGCCTAGTGAGAAGGAGTACCCCTGAACGTTGTGAAACGTCAATCGGTCTCATTGCGTTCCCCGGGGAGAGGTGTTGGATGCCCCCCACCCCCCCGATCTACCCTGTCCCTGACACATCCACTGCTCAGCGGCCGGTTCTGTTTTGACATGACCTGTTGAAGAAGCCAAGGCATGGTACGCACTTGCATTTCCGCCTTTCTTACTCTACGGATCTGCCCACCTGCGCCAGCAATCGGAGTTTTGAAAAATAAAGTGTAAGCTGTCACAGATGGGAGAGGAGGATAACGGACGATGCCCAAACCGATCGAACAAGACTTGGACTGCAAACCTTCAGCCATTGGCACAAAAAGGAGCATCGAGAGCCTCGATTTCCGGAGTCAGTTTAAGGAGCATAACAAGGAACCTTCGACCGGACTGGTTCTTGCGACCCACGTCTGTAAACGTGTTTGGGATGTCTCGGTCTGGACGTCCCGACACTGGATTTCGACATCGCCATGTTTGCCACTTCCCTTCTCCATCTCCCGGATTTCATAATAGGGCATGCCTGTAACTAGACCCCTGCAAGGCTCCCAGACTTTGGATTCGTTTGGGCAGTAGAAGCGGTGTAGTGAGTCTGCTGTCCAATGCTTGAAACAGGTTCGCCATCGGTTGAGTTATGGTGATTTCTGGTTGCTCCATCGTGTCATGAGTTGCTGGATCTTCATGTTTGCATAGTCGGACCTACTGAGGTATGCACTCTATTTCGCAGTGCAGGACTGCCGTCCAAATGCCGAATGGCTATGAACCACGGTCATCTTGTTTACCACAACGTCCTTTCGTGGTTTGGCGGGCCAGGTCGAGCACAAAACTGTAGGACCGCAACTTCAAGGATCTCAAAATCAATCAGCTCAAATGGTCTTCTGCCGTCGTGCCTGCAAAGGAAAGAACGGGTAGAAGCTGCCCATAGGAAGGACAGAAGGGTATCTGACGATTGTGCTGAGACTGTTTACCACCTGATCACCTAATCGATGCCAACATAACCCATGGTGGAGTCGCGGCTGTATGACCTCTGCTCCACCCAAAGTCCAAATAAGTGCAGGTGGCTGCTCTTGGTGTCACCTCCGCCCCGGTTACTACCTTATTCAACTTAAGCATGTGCATGCTCGGTTGACTGGGGAGCTGCCACTGTTGTCAATTGGCACTGGCCCTTCGTTGTCCCAGGCTCTTTCACGACCATGGTGCTACCACGCAATGTAACTCGTCAAAGTGTTTCAAACTGCGAAGGCCGCTGTGCCATCCACGGTGGATGTCGAAGTGTCAATACCGCCTGGCTGGCGATATGGCATGCAGTTGCCGGCAGCCAGCTTGCACATGCGCAACTAAAAGTGCTTCAAGTCTATGTGTATCGAGCACTGCGTTTTGTTGGTTGCTGGTCAACGTGCAGACGGACCAAGGTGACATACGATGGTCACATGTATTATGTGGATGCAGCACGACGTGCATTATGTAAATTCTGTTCGGCTTGTGCGTTGGGCCACAGGCACTGATATTCTGCACCTGCTGTCTGCGAGGTGCCTGCAGGTTGTACAGTTGGCAGTGCATTCACCACTACTTTGCAGCGAGCTGCATGAATAGCTGTAGTCGCATGACTGGTAAGTCTAAGTCTGCCTTCGGTCAAGCCGTGCGGCAGCTGCAGTTCCAAGCTTTGGCAAAACATCGTCGTTTCGGCTTGGCGGACGGCATGCGCGTTCGCATGTGGCATTTTTGTGTGATGGAGATATATCAAAGCCAGAGTGAATGTTTTTGGTTTTGTGGTCGTCGGAGTCCCTTGGCTCCATGGGCGAATCGCGTTTTGAAGCCACCCTAAGCTGTTGAAAACTGCCCGATTGGTGAGTCGCCATCCGCTTTGAATGGCGTTTGTGTATTGCTACGTCCCGCGAACGGCCTCAGCTCTACCCACCACGCAAAGCGGACATGTGGGTGGCGAGCCACAGCAGCGAAGGATGAACATCAGAAAAGCCCTGCTTCAGCAGTTCTGCGGTGCAGGAGATGTGCTACTGTTCTGGCAGTGGTGGCAGCACGTATAACAAGCCAGAGTTGAATTCTCAATGCTGCGTGCAGGTCCGACAGATCAGCGACTTGACCGACTTGGATGAGCCTGAGGCATTGTTGGAGACTTGCAAGCTTATGGTTTGCGTGCTGGACCTTCAACTGGAGTCTAATTGCATCAACCCCTCGGGGAAGATCGGGAACCTGTAATCGGGGCATTTCACTCAATGTTGGTGTGAAAGACCGCGTATGTTCGCTTCAGCTGTCGTAATCGGCATGTTCGTGAATAGTCAACCGTAATGCGCTTCCCGATGATATTGTGCATGGTTGATCTGTGTTCATCCCATAGCCATAGACACGTTGCAACTGGAATTCCGCAGCCCGAGTTCTGAATCCTGGAAACCTTGTCCACGGGCGAGACCTCAGTTACAATGCGCCGTGAGAAGCCCGATCACGATCTTGCTCTTTCCATGTCCCTCTCCAAAGACCGGCCAGGAGGCTTCGAATTCCCAGCCCTACGTCCAGCAGGAGAAGGAGCTGAACCCCGGTCCTGTGGCGAGCTGAGTGACGTGTGCAGAGTCTGGACCATTTGCTGTCTAGCATAAAGATGGCCCGATCCCTTTAGAGCGCTGAGTCTCAGACAAAGCAAATCATGGATTCTTTTACAAGATTGCGATGGGAAACGGGGCTTTGATCAGAACAGGTCAAATGTGACTTGGGGAAAATGCGACTTGGACCATAACGGGATGTCATTCTCATGGCAGTATCCGTTTGACAATCATTTATGGAATCACCAAGGGAAGCACATTAACAACAGTGGAACATAAATAACAACTGCATATCATGATCTGCGCTCTGTGATCTGTTTGATAAGTTCGTTTTTTGCTACCATCTTTATCTTTTTCTTTGCATTTGGTTCTGTGTCTGATTCTTCCAGCAAAAATAGATCTGAAATCCAAACATTTGAAAACGCCCTGGAAGTGCTTTAACTAAAGCACACGGAATAATCATGAGAACTGCTGGAAAACCCTGAGGCACGCGGATTGTTGGTTTGTAATTTGCATACTATGTACTTCTCATGTGTGTCTTCTTGTCACATCCTTGGGTTTCTGATTTTGTTTTTTCGTTATTCCCAGACTGTTTTCTAGTATTTGCATTTATTGACGACATCGTTGATGTAAGGTTGAAGTTTGAATAGTTCGTGTAGTTCCTGGCTTTCATAGTGTCATAGAGTTCACGGACGATGGGGCACTGCTGAGGCCACCGGGGCCACTGTTGCCGCGGGCCCTGAAGGCCCTGAAGCCCGAGCTTGGGCTTCAAGCGGCGCAGGCGGCGCGCGCTGTCAGGGACAGACGTGCCCCAGAGGCAAATCAGTCGTGATGTGCCGGAGCAAGACACGGCAGAAGCAAACCTCTCCAGAAGCGGCTCCTTTACGACCATTGGTTGCGGTACCGCTTTCTCAATAAGGCCAATGCATGCACATCACCTCCACTTGTCGTGCTCCTAAGAAGACGTCCTGCCTTTGCACAGAGATTCGGATGCGAGGAGTGGCAGGGCAGAAGCTTCAAAGCCAGAGACCTCTTGGCTGATTTCTAACGCAACTGACGTAAATTTACTGTGGACAAATACTACGGCTTAAATTCGGTGCAGCTAGGTGCTCTCCTTTCGCTGACGTTGCTCCAGCCCCTTTTTGGTACGAATTTCGGCTTGCTTCTCTGTGAACTACCAACGTGTGAGTGTTGTCAAGCCAGGCATTTTGCAATTTCGAGGTTGGCTGAGCGTCCAGGAAGCTATTGCGCACGACCTCGCCAAAAGACCAGCACCACAGACAACCAGCTGTTGCTATGACCCTGCTTAAAGGCAAGTTTTTTTCTGAACGAAGCTTTTTCCACGTCTTCGCAAATTGGTGCGTTTTCCAATCGCGAAATGAAATCTTTACTCCTGTTCCATCAGCAGGTACTCCCAGGCTCTTACGTCGCCGTCGCTACAAGTGGTAGATGCCAGGCCATTGCATCCATTGCAGTGCGCTGAGGCGATTTCGGTAGGTGGTCTCGACATGCAGAGAAGTGAAGCAGTCGAGTTACAGTCTTGTGTCATCAGCAGCTCGTGCTGTCCTTTCTTTGCTTTGATTGGCTCAAAGACCTTGCCTTGGCTAATGGCTTCGTGATCCTCCTGTCCCGCTGCATGCGTGCAGCGCGTGCGCGAACCTTGGAGCTGCATATATCTGAGGCTGCACACCGAAATCTCAGCTGTCTGAGGCATCCAAGACGTTGAAGACACTTCTATGCAGGCAGCTGGCTGGAAGTCTCGGCATGGCCAAATCTCCCTGACCGAGCATCATTGCTGGGCCGTCAGGCAACAAATCGACGCCTGCCGACTTGATGGTGTGGTGGCTGCTCCTTGGCTGAGCAGGTTCCCTCTCGGACTGAGACGACCAGCCTCGGACTCTGCCTCGTTTGACTGCCCTACTAGCTCTCGCAGCTGCAGGTTGCTGCTCTTCCCCGTCCCCACGCTGCAGAAGGCATCGGGGTTGTGATGCAGCGCAGGGAGGGGATTCCGTGCCTGCGAGCTCTTTTAGGTGTGGTATCCATCAGTGGATGATCAGATCGAAGGTTGCTATACAGCCGCACGGCTGTTTTCAATGAAGTTAAGGCGCCACGTGGAGTACGGCCTACGGCCCGCACGTGGGTTCAGTGTCCTCTGCAATGCCTGCCAACGGGACGTTTATCTCAGGTTTCTGCCGATCTTGCTGATGATCACAGTGCTGCTAGCTGCGGTGGGAAGCTGCCTGCTCAGCGGCGTCGATTAATGCCGCAGTGAACAGCTCGCTGTTCGGATCTGTTTTCCAAGCCCCTCAGGCAATGTCCAAATTGCTACCAGCTCGACACATCCTCCAACGCAGCCCAAGCATGTTTCTTTCTTTTTTGCATTCGTCGCCTGGAAAGAGTCCTCCGTGTAGGCAGTCACCTTAACCATTACCAACTGCCACTTCGTGAATGGCGTGGCTTTGACCGGCCAGGCAAACTTCGGTTGCTAGTCGAGCAGCGTCATCACTGAACCGTCTGCAGGCTGTTTTCATGTACACCTTCTACAACACAGGTGCTGTTCGGAGTGGGGTCTCACCTGGACCGCGTGCACACGGTGCATGAAGGTACTCGCTCTGCCTTTGTCAAAGATGGCAGTGGTGCTGGCGCACGGGAGTATTTCATCAGGCGCTCCCTTGTCTCAACCTGTGCTTCAGATGCCACATGCTTGTGCGCCTCTGCACCTTAGGTCCCGTTTCGTCAAGTCTTCTTGAGTATCCAATTTGCCTCCGTCTGCGTTCCACATCTTCCAGGCCCATGGGCCAGGGCGATGCGGGTACAACTTGCATGTGCAAGGCCCGGCGACAAGCAGCGGCGGTTTCTTTCCGAAATTGCTAGCGGCCTTGCGAGGATGGCGAGTTGGCCTGCAGCGCTGACACTCCCGAAGTCCTGAAGGTGACTGCCAGTGGCAGTTCACCCGGTCAACTTCGAGAGTGGTGGGGCCCTTCCTCCTCAACAGTTGCTTAAGGTTCAACGGAGCCCAGCACGGAGTGCGCAACTTTGTCGGGCACGCCGCTGACGACCTCATCTCAGAATCTTCTGCAGGGTCGCTCTGTCTAGGTGTGCGAGTAGTTGGTGAGAGAGCTCTCTTAGGCTGGACCTAAGCACAACCGCCTGCAACTCACGGTACTGTCCCACATGCTCCACGGCCATGTTAAGAACCTAGCATGGTTGTTCGTTGAGCTTGGCAGATTCAGATGTTCCCTCCTGGTGACAGGCTTTACCATGGACACGACTGCAACGGGTGCCGACATGACGCTCACACTTTCGTGCAATCCCCGGATCGACAGGTTTCAGAATCCGCCCGAGAAAGCATGAGCGTAACGCGTTACACCGAGGAACTGCGACTACTACATGGGACACCATCTATCCTCAAACTACGTCATCAAGTGAGCCATTCTCGCATTGAGCGATTTGAGCAGACACGGGAGAAAGAGATGCAGAGCTGTATGGTGAGATTGCTTCTGACGAGGTACGACTTCTACAACTTCGGCACCCATTCAGCCACACCAGCTTGTGACTGCAATTTCTGCAGCCGTTGTGTTGCAGCTCCAGACAGGTCACTCTGGGTGACGGGTCGGTGGACTATCAAATGTCGCGTGGGCCTTCGGAGAAAGAGTCTGCAGCGTCATCGCCGGACAGCTGAAACTGTAATCTCCGCCAAATTGAGGTTTGGCAGTTTCGGCGCATCCGCAACGCACTGCGCATGCCTTGCTGGAACGCTTTGGCCTCAGTAGCTGCTGTCAGATGCTTCTGCACTCGCTGACTTGCTCCTGTGATCCAAGGCTGAGATGCGATGCAGGTGGATCATCTGGAAGCATTCTGGGAAACCTCGAAGTTTCCGGCCGCCACCTCAAACTTCGATTAGCCCGAGGCGGCCCGAGGCAGGCCAGTCTCCGTCTTTTCTATTCTTGCCCTGCTTAGGCTATGCGTCCGTATTGAGCCTGCTGCTCAGAGCCAGGATCCCTGAGCGAAGCTGTTTCCATTGGTCGACACGCTACCCAGGCTATTCGAGGGTCGGCAAATTTCCATCCGTCTCAGACTTCTCTGCGCTCGGTGCATCTCTCTTTGCGCAAAGCTTTGCGAGGCAAGCCCATCACTTTGGACTGCTTGAAAAGCCTGTGCCAAGCCTTGAGCCTTTGCCGTTCTTTGAGGTCGGAAATTTCCCCTCCTGCCTCTAGTGCTGCCGATGCCCAAGACTAGAAGCATGGGGGTGTCTGTTTCTCACTTCGGCTACCTCGAGACTCAAGGCCACTTCGGAGCCTTCCTCGCCGGTGCACAGTCGAAACCTGAGTGGCTCAGGCACACATGCCGCTGACACAGCTGGGAGCACGTGGAGCTTAGGTTTAAGCAAATTTGCACCTTCGCCTTCGGCGCGGTCTCTTGTACACCTTGACCCTGCTGTTTCGCTCCTGGGGGTCGTGCAGCTGGATCCCTCGCGGCTGGCTTAGACCGGAGCTGAATGACGGGTAGCTTGAGTCCGGAAGTCTTTCGGCTAGGAGTGGCCAGTGTTACCAGGTTGCCAGCTCCTAACCCTGCCGATGCCGGGTCGCCTTCATCCCTGAGAAGTTTTTCCTGCACGGGGCTCTGTGACGGGCCTTCCTTGGCGAAGAGATTCGTGGAGCGGGAATTCTTGTAGAGAGACTTTTCGCCCTCCGACGTCCAAGGCCTTGGACTTCCAGCCTCGGTGCCTTCTGGCGCGACTGCAGAATCCTCGCTGATGCTGCAAAGTGCTGCCCGTGCTTCCCCCGAGCTTGCGCGACACCGGTCCGCTGGCTCCCATGAAGTCCATCTGAGGTGCTGGACCTGCTTTGGCGACGTTCGGTTCCATGGGATTAGGCTGGCTGACAGTGCTTGCAAGTTCATGGACCCATGGGGAAGTAGCACAGCAATGACGTACATACAGCTTGTTAAATGCCGGAGCATTTGCAGGCTTTTTGCTTCTGGCGGCGGATTTTGTCCAGCGTGACCCTCAGAACTTGAGTGCGATGCACTTCGTAACCGGGCGTACGAGCAGCTCATGCTCTTCAGACTTCCATTTAAGCTTCTGGAATTTCTTAGTCAAGTTCTGCGCTGAGCATGCACACACCAATTTGTACGACACCAAGGCTTACGCGCTTTTGAATCCCGACCTCTCTCTTTCGTCAAGTCGTCTGTCACACATTGTGGAGCCTGCTGCCATACCCGACATCTGCAATAAGTCCAGTCAGGGAGGGTATAAGTGGATGTTGATCCAAGGTAGTGTCCACGATCGTGGTTGGCATAATGCACTCTAAATGACTGGAAGAATTCCGATTTGCGACGGCTTGGCCTTGCCGTGATGCGAGCCTTCGAGAAGCAAAAGGTGGTAGGAGTGAAACTAATACTAATACCGCAAGAATGTCACATGAGTATAAGGATCTTATGCTGGGGGTATTAGAAGCCGTAGAATGTATTCCGGCAAAGCTTCCTTGTGAGATCCTACATTTCTATGGCCTTGTGGGCCGTAGAAACATGAGAACCCTCTGAAAGCGACTGAGAGCCTGTGCTTTTAGTCGGAAGTCTCGGTCGCTGGAACCATGTATGGGGTGGTGGCATCATTTTTGTATTGTTCTCTGTGTGTGTGTGTGTTTTTGTTTGTGTTGTTGCTGTGTGAGCTGAGCAAGCAAGCAAATAAGCACCTAAAGCCTAAACCTTAAACCCATACGAGCACTGAGCCTCGCTCCGTGCCAGCCCAGAGTGATTCGAAGTGAGAGCTTTTGTTTTCAGACCAAGGTTAACCCACACCAAAGCATCCCCGGCCTAAAGCTGCTTAGATCTCCAAATAGCGAAAGAGCACCACGTCGACAACGATGCCCACAACGGCCAAAACACGACCACAACGACCACAACGACCACAACGACCACAGCGAGCAAATCGCCCAAAACGACCAAAAAAACCCACCACAAAGTTTCACCGCCTTGTCTGCGGAGTTTTTCAGCGTTTACAGGCCATCATCCCGCACTTGTTCTCCTCATGTACTGGCGGCCTTGAACGTTGCACAAGTACCCTTGCCGCAATGCTTCCGTGCCTTAACAGGTCAGTTCAAGCATTTTCACGAGAACACGACAAGACTGAACGATGTACTGGCCTTTCCAGCCCAGCACAATGCGAATGTATGGGCTGCACTGAGGGACGTGTTCGCAGCGGAACTGTGCGGTTAATGGGACATGAAGGCAGATCGTGCAGCATACCACTGCTAACGTAGATATGGGCAATCGGCAAAGAAACGGATAAACAACACCAGTAAATCACCGATACATGTTTTTTGCCCATGAAAGGTTGGAGCTTCCCTTGCCGTCGCGCAGTTTCGCGCAAGCAGGTGCTGGCAGAGTACATTCACTCCAAAAAGTCTTGCGCATTTTTGCTTGCCTGCCCAGGCTTCCCTGTGTCTGCGCCGCGTTTTTTCCATCCAGAGGCTTTGATGCTGCTGCATGGGATGCTCGGCTTTGAAATCCAGCTGTGGCGTACTCTCTAAGACTCTAGGGGCCATTTGCTCACGTCGGACCTGGCGCAATTGGCATTACTTGGCATCAAGGATGAATTGATGTGGTACATCAGTACCTGCCTCTGGGTGCCAATGCATGGACTTTTCCGCCATAGTTCTGGATTCTTTACAGTGGAAGCCTTAGAGATCGAAGCATCGAAATCGTTGAACGACCGGCGTATGCTTCTGCAATCAGATTGGGCTTGTCGCCTGTGTTGCAAGCATTTGGGCGGCTGGGTGTGGCTTTCGCAGTACCAGGCCGGGTTGCGGCCCTAGCTGTGTCTGCATTGAAAGCCTGCACCAGACAGTGTAATGCAGGTCTCACCAGCTTCGATTTGCCAACTTCCTCGCAGAGCTTTGCGGGGCTTGGATTGCTGCCAATTTCATCTGGAGCTGCACGGTCGGACCCTAAACGCCAAGCTGCGACGCGAAACACAGCATCAAAGCCCTGCGCTGATCTCAGGCTTGGACCTCTCGTGTTTGCTTTGGGTGTGACTTGGCTCGGTCTACCAACGCTTCTTCGGAGCCTTGCTCGAATCGGCAAGGGCCCCAGCACGGAACCAATTAGGCGGGTTCGTCGATTCGTTGGATGTCCTTTGAATGTGGCTGTGAGGTCTTCCATTATTCGCCTGCCAATGTTCGCAGCCGCTGACTTAGCAACACAGGTCTTTGCAAGCACCGCTCAGATTTCGTTTAGTTCTTGTGAGTCGAGACAATCGTCAGCCTTGCTGCAGCATTGCTTTTCTAAGTCTCGAATTCGTCATGCTTTTACGGTCACTTGCCAAACCTGATGCAGCATCGCTGGTCCGCTGCTCAGGGAAAGTCTTTGTGTAATGCTTGTCTTTGCATGTGCTTTTTTTCGCGATGTACTGCTTGTAATCCAGGTCCTGGGATGCGCACATCTTGGCTCCTCGCTGCTCCTCCGCAGTCTGTTTTATCCTGGGCCGGTATCTCAACTGTTTCATTCGAGGAAGTGGGCATGTCTCCACGGCTTGCCCGATAAGGCCGTTTCTGCTGCTTGTCGGCTGCGGTCGACCAGGTGTTTGCTTACTTGCATCTTGGTGATCTATAGTTCCATGCTGACACAGCATTGCAAGCACCTGTTTCGTAGTTTCGAGGTCTTTGGCAATGTCAAGCTCGAATCGTCACCTTTCTTGCGAAGCTTTGCTCGCGTTGGCTCTGCACTTCTCGTGTGCTGACCTTACGGTTGCTGTGAATTGTAGAATTGTAGAAGGTTGCAGACGGAGGGGTAGTTGTACACATCAGATTGGAGGTTGGATCTCCTCCATCCCGGGCTGCCTATACTGCCACATAGCTCCGTCAAAATCGAAGCACCTGCGCCAGTGCCGGAGCCCTGAAAAGGCGCAGAGCGCCTGATGTGCAACCCCAGAGTGGGCTCGCCTCGCCAGGTCCAGTGCCACACGAACGGGGAGCTTGCCTCCGGCCCTTGACTTTGTCCATTCAGGCACAGGGCTTTCGGGGTCTCGCCGTAAGCCTCTGCTGGCACAAACCCACGTCATTCTGGCTGCGTTCGTAGGTTCTTCTCTGCCGATCCACGGGGCGGTGAAGCAAGGCGGTGCTCCCCTCGGCCACCATCCGGTTCTCTCCATAAATGGTTTTAATCTGGGCTTGAGGATTTGATATTTGGTTTTGGGATTGGTTCCATGGCGGATATGGAAGTGTTGGTTGTTTGATGCTTCTGGGAATTGTTGAGTGGAACAGTTCCAGACTGAGTCATTGGTGTTGGATTTTGAGGTACTGCTTCCAGAAGGTGCTTTCCGAAGAAACTATGCAACGCTCGGTATGGTAAATCTGAATATCCAAATGGGTTGATAACGGGCCATGGACATTAGTGTTTGAGCAGATTTATGTTTTACGTGCTTCTCTGCGTGAGGTACTTCTCCTACAACAGGCAAACAGGTAGAAGTGCATGCAAACATGCATATGTACGAATGTGTATGCATGGATCTGTGTCTCGTAACTCTTGTTAACATGTACAGGACCCGACTTTCTGCTTGACATGTTGCCTTTAGCACGATTAGGAGCTCTCCTTGATACGATTGCAGAGTTGTCATGCTGTTGTTTTCATAATAACAGATGATTGCTGGTCAAGACATGAATGAGCCCATTCATCTCTGCTCATAATCAGAACCTGTTGTCTCCTCAAGGCCGAAGACGCAGGATCAGCTTATTTGTCACGGATAAAGCCGATAAAGCTATTCATTTTCAAGTGGTAAGACACAGAGATGATGGTACGAGCTTTCCTGTTTCTCGTAGTTAGTATGGGGAATGAAGCCGTAGCATGTTTTCTTCATGAAGCCAGAGTTCTCTTGTTTCTTCTCAATCTAAGAACACCGAATGTGTTTAGGATACCATGAGGTTTCCTCAAATAGAATAAACAGATGCAGAGGTGGTTGC